GTTAGATCCAAAACAGTTTGAAATAGTATGTTTGAAGGAATTAGGTAATGAGCTAGGATTTGCAGAAGAGGTTTGGATTCTTTATTTCTTTTTATCTTTAAATGCATCTTACCTTTATCATCATAGGATACAATAACCTGCGGTTGTCTGTTTGGGCTTGGTACTCACAGGGTGACAGAAACGCTTGATTGCCTTATAGTGGCTCTTGGAATGTCCAATGGGCACGTCGTTTTCTTCACTGACCATGGTTTGTGAACACTTTTCGAACAATATTGGTAATCTTGTTTACCATAGGTGTACTGTTATTCTTCGAACAATTCGCCAAAGATGACATTCTGTCTTTATCTTTTGTGCGGACTGATGATAGCCAACAATTTACTGTTGTTACTTCTGAAGACTTTTTTGCTGTTGATCCTATCAGTCTCCATTCTACTCTTTTGAAAGCCAAATCAGCGGTATATTTATTCTCCTTTCCTAGCGATAAAGTGGTTGATGTCCATTTAATTTAGATAGCCAGACGCGAAATGAAGGCAGAGGAGCTTTCAAAAACGCTCGAACTTGATGTGGACCATATGAAGCCTGAGAAAGGGTATGTGATCCTAGAGCTTTTGAGTTTATTGTTTTTGGTTTTCATAAATCATCTATTCTTTTCACAGAGCAAATGGTTTGCGCCATGTTCTGTTCACAGGTGTTCACCAACCATCAGCTTTTGAGCTATACTCCACAGCATCGTTCTCTTCATACAATGTGAGTCTTAATCAAGTGTCAGTTGAGCCTCCAATTTTGTCATCCTTAAACGATTCTTCTTTACACACCACTCCATTTTTGATTAAGTTGAAATTGATTGTATTAGGAGACGATACGCAGTTCTGTGCCGCCACTATATTCCATGTATCTTTACACTTCTGACAGACTCTTTTCGACTTTTGCTTGGACAACTGATAGCGATAGGAGAAAGATGTGGGCTGAAGCTGTCAAGTATGGTAAATCGGTAAGTTGCTGTAGGAATATGTGCGATGACTTTTCGTATTAAAACCCATTCTAGTTTGTTCCGCATTTTGGCTTGCGTGACATGCTTGGCTTCTCCAGCAAACCACGGAAGAAAGCGGCGTTTGCTCAAGAATCTTATACAATCACAACTAGAGGAGTACTAGGAGATTCTCGCCTTGCAGTTGAAATTGCCTTAGAAGCATCACGTGGCCTAGTGGCTGTTGTAGACCATGTAGCTAGGGTGGTGCTTATTGATGTAAGTTCTGTCTTTTGCGCTGCTTCTTTGTTATTGGCATGTCTCGGTTTTACTCAATGATTTTCTCGGTTATTGCCGCCACTTTTTCAGTTTTCTCTCTCCTGTCAGTTTCTGTTTTTTTTTGTCGATATATTTTGAATTTATCTCCAAGTCTATAGATTCTGAATCGCCAAATTATTCGCATTTGGAAAGGATATAGGGA